GGGGGTTACTTTTGTCACCTTTTGGAGGGGTGACGGATGTTACTGTTCGTACGGTACGACACAAGTAAGTATCTGCTCTAGACATTCCCATCACCCTATTTTACGGTAACATCACTTGCCATCACACAGTCACTGCTTACCCTCGCCGTTCCTCCATTCTTCGCCTCCCACAACATCAGTGCGATATGATGTAATACTCTTCGCTTCTTCTTCTTCTTCCTGTGGAGTGAAAGCGGTGCTGTTGCGCGCTGTGTACCGCACCGGTATAGTACCGTAGTAAATACGCCCACGCTCCAAAGCTTTCCTTCCCCTCTAGGCTCATCAGGTACCATAATCGACATTCCGGTTTCGGACATTGGAAGCATTTTATCCAATCGTGGATCCGGTGATCATGATCATTACCGCTACCACTATTATTTCATGAATTGTGTAACTGTGCACGCAAAGTTCAATCGAGAAAAAGGAAAAACGATGGGGGGAAGAGAGAGAAAGCCTGGCTATAGGGTACCGTGGCCTCCCGGTCACTTTCGAGGGAAGGAGGGAGGGATGGATTGTTCGGGGTGACTATCATGCCATACGCTAGGAGTGGGCTATCGTCGATCTGGAGCGTTGGGTATGATATTCATTCAAGAGTAGAAAGTAAATTATGTACGATAGGATTATAATAATATTGTCATAGTTATGCCTGCGGTCCGCACCTCCCTCCGGTCTAAACACCCTATGTGCTCCAATAGGGTTATACTGTGGGGGCGCAAGGCTGAGTCCATTTCGTTCATCTGATTATCCAGAAGAACTACGGGATAGGCTACTGTACAGAAGGCGTTTCTCCTATGGCTACTACGCTTTTACGTAGGACTGTAGAAATTTCTTGTACAATTCCACCTCCGGAAGCCTCTTGGAGATCCAAATTGCTGCTCTATGTACTGGTACTAGTGTTAAAGCACAAGGTTCTCCAAAAAAAAAAAAAAAAAATAAACGACAGCCACTTCACGGCTTGGGCAGGCCACCACTGCCGCCCCCTCCTAATTGACGTCTCATCTCCAGGGCCGTCTTGTATGGTGGGGCTGTAGGAGGCTGTATTGGATCCTTGCTCTTCCACTTCTGTCCAAACTCATCTACTTCCGGCAGAGCGTATGTAGCATCCGAATCGAACTCACTCAAGTCCCCGCAAGCGATGAAAGGTGCGATATACCTCGCCTCCCGGGAAACATGGTCGCTGTCCTCGCCACCCTCTGCTTCTCTCAACTCGACTTCCTTGACACCATCGACCAGATGCTCCTCCTCTTTATCCCTTCCGCTCGGCCTCCTACTCTCCGGAAACTTCGCTCCAAGCCCTAGCGGCGTTTCTAAAGAAGGCTTGAAGCCCGCGGGCGGCGAGTACCCCTCGCAGACCACAAAAGCCTCAATGCTGCTCCCCCTCGAGCTGCGTGGCTTCGCGCAAGTGACACGATCAAAAAGGCATCTCAGCTGAGCAAACACAATTGCCACATCCCTCCCCCTAAATATTTTGGCGACGAACCCCCCGCCGGGCTTGAGCACGCAGGTCGCTAGGTTCAGTGCGGCGAGGAGCAGTTGTGACTGGATGTATTCGTCCAAATCGTGCAGTCCCGTGACGTCGGGTGCCCCGTCAGAAATAACCAAATCCGCAGGCTTGTTCCCCAGATGCTGGAGCAAGAGCGGGAGTGTGGATGGGTGGGTAATGTCGGCTTGTAGGGTGGTCACGCCCGGCAGGGGCGTCATGGGTTGCAGATCCAGCGATACGATGGTGGATGTCGGCGGCAGTGTGCGTGAGAGGACTTGGGACCAGGAGCCGGGAGCGGCACACAAGTCCACTACCCTTGTCACATCCGCAAAGAGGTTGAATTGCGAGTTTAGCTGTAGGAGCTTGAACGCGGAGCGAGCCCGCCACCCTATTAACTTCCGTTAGCTAACACCCGGGTACCCAAAGGATCGGGGTTCAGGAAATTATGCCTTGCTCTTTGGCGAGCCTGTAGTAGGAATCCCGTTTATCTTTGCTCGATTTGCCCATTGTGTTCCGCGGTTAAGTTGTGGTGGGAGTACCGTACCGGTAGGTTGTTGTTGTTGGTGAGGCTCTTGTGGAAGAGTGGGTGGGGGTTTGGCAATTAGGAATGTACGAGTACCGTACCGCCGGTGCCAAGACTCGCTGTGCTCAGTAAACCAACCAATTTGGCCCCCTCCGGGACAGAATGAGGCCATCTTCCGCGGAGAGCGCACCGATGATACCCGAGCCCCCAACTCTCACGGTGAAGCGAAATTACAGTTAAAAGGCTCGTAGTACGTATCGAGCGACCACAATGTGGGGAGCTCGCTCGAACGAGATACTGTACCAGTAGCCCGGTAGCCTTCCCTCTGAAAGCAGTATTGATGGTGCTCCGTACACAGTAACCATCGTACCGGCGCACAACTTATGTTCGACTGCACAGCGGGTTGCGATAAAGTACGGTACTCGAGTACCGTACCCATACACTACAAGGAGCTTGGCAGGCCCTTGGCTTACTTACCCATTGATATTTTGAGATTGGCGTTTCGCGCGAGGACCTCTTCCGGGGCATGCCGTGGTCATGCTTGGAGGGCTGGGACAGGTGAATTATCTGTACTACCGGTATGATAGGAGAAGGAAGGTACAAGTAACTTGAATTATCCCTCCGATTCTTAAAGTCCATACTATCATATCCATCTCGGCGCCAAATTCCGTAATCTCTAGCAGAGAATCATTAGCAATTGCCATCACTATTATGGTGTGACCCTGAACTGATCCCCGCTTATTCAACGAAATCGCTTGAGGGTGCTGTTGGTATCAACTTATCACACCTCCGTCCAACCATACCGTGAATACATGCCTGTACGAACATATGCGTACGCTATGCAATGAACCGATGTACCGGTAGTTCCTAGATATAACAATGTCATGTAAATCATGCATTGGAGGGGGAAAAATGACGGCGCAGTACTTGTGCCCGTACAGCATAAGTAAATATATATGATAACCCAGCACCCCCCCCCGGGTCAGTCGAAAATAACGGCTTCGGTCCGGACTGAAACCATACTAAAAGCAACTCTTGACGCGGTCCAATCGCCGTGACACAGTTTACTCCCCTCGGGCGAGACACACAGCAGAGAATACCCCGGATTTTTAACAAGCTCGTCACGCGCTTCTCCCTTTACACACCATACGAGTACCGTACGCCTCAGGAACGTCACGCTCACTCATCGGGTCGAAAACACTTAAAACTCCCCCTCCATGCAACTATTTTTCCCGGGTAGCTACTCCATGCTTATTTCTCCAACCTCATAAAGGAGGCCTGATCTCCTCCCCGTTTCCAGGAGGAAAAAAGACAAAAGGATTCCCAATTCAGGCTTGTTTTCTTCTCTCTCGCGTTAGACTTCTGCTTGTTTGCTCCGTGGTTGTTTTGCTGTTGGCTAACTTGGCCTTTCTTCTTTTTTTCTCTCTTTTTTTTTTTTTTTCCTTTTCCCAACTTTAATCTTTCCCTATTCTTTGCCGATTCGCCTGCCGAACTATTTTTCCTTTTTTCAACAATCGATCAACCCTCTCCTCTCCCAACTTGTAGTTAGTTTTGTCGTCCCTCATGACAAGCGTTCAACAACCAGTAGGCCCTACGCTCCCCGAAAAAATGAGCCAGCCAGAGAAGCGCCCCCGCGGAAGACCTCCAACATTTACCGACGAGGAACGACTTCAGCGGAAACGAGAGCTGGCTCGCATACGTCAAGCACGGAAGAGGGAGCGGGACAGGGTTAGGAGATGGAGCACGGGACAGGGCAGTGAAGAGATGGGTTCACAAGGAGTTAACTCACCACCAGAGAATTCTGTTGATGGAACAGATACGAACGGCCTTTCCCAGAAGACCGACCAGAACGCTTGGGGCCTGGAGAAGGCTGTTGGTTTTCAGGTCCAGGTTAGAGGGACGAGGGATAATTCACCCTCTGATCAGGAATATCCTGCTCCTAGTGACGAAAGCATCATATCGAGGGAACACAATCCGCCATCCAGACCAGTAGGGCCGCCATCACCGCAGCCGCCCGCACTCCCCGTCCCATCAATACCAAACGATTCGATGGTTTGTGATGAGCCGGAAAGTTATGATCGAGCTCATGAAAGCTTGGCATCCTGGCATAAGATCCACAGCATTTCGAAGGCATTGGAGGCTTCTCGGGGCAGTCGGGTTATGCGAAATCAGTTAGCCAGCTTGCTATACACGAACGAGTTAGTTTCTCTCATCCAGAGTTGGGAGGAAGCGGGATTTATGCCTCAAGGGAAGGCATCTCTACCGCCACCATCAGTAGCCGAGCAACAAAACGGAATACCCGCTCCCCCGCCTGGCGCGTCATCTCGTGAGAGTGTGTTCCCTGGTGGTGTTAGTAATGGTCGTCCGGAGGAGTCGGAGGACGAACTTATGGAAAGAATACTAGACAACTTGAGTGGACGAATGCAAGCGCTCAAGCGCCGGAAGGGCCTAAAATCCGAGGTGGATGAGCTACGGAAGGCCTTGGCGGATAAGGAAGCGAAGTTGAAGGAGTGCAACGCAATATTAGAAGCCGAAAGAGCCGTATGGCAAAATTTCCAGAACATGCAGGTTTAGAATTAAACGGCATTGTTTGTTGTTTATTTGTTTCCCCCGCATTTTCCTTGCTCTATTCTATCATGGGGAGGAGGGGTGGGTAGTGCCGGAGTTCATAATTGCTTAAATTGGCCCGATTTTTGCTACACTTCTCTCTCCAGTGCTGTTTCACGCATTGCTATCGGCATCTTTGTTTATTCTGCGATGGGATTGGGGTTTATTTATCAGTTGGCGTTCACAGGAAGATTGCGACGATGAAGGTAGTCAATGTAATGGAGTGTGTGTGGGGGGGTATCTTCTGTATCTCTGATTTCACTCCCGAGCTTGAAGTAACATCACCTCTATGGTGTCACGAAATGAAAAGATTTCATGGATGTATAAAAGAGAAGAAAAAATAAACATATGGGATTGATATTTCGAATCTTGATTGGTTTTCAAAGCGACCTGCAACAATAAACCCACTTGCACCTGCGTAGGTTCTGTAACTCATCACCTGCGTCACCAGACGGCACTCGTGCAGCTCTCTACGCCTAGCTTGAAAACGGCATTCTGGTGAGGCCCCCGCGAACTGCCACAGCCCCGGGTTTCCGGTAGTCTAAGGGGTTTGTTTTCCTTTGCCTGTTTGTTTCTTGAACTCTCCTACCCTTACCCTTAACCTCGTGTTCTGCTCCATAGTCTAGGCCCTTCCTCATCCTCTTCCCTCGTCACCCTCCACAACGTCAGTGACAACCACCTCTGTTTCCTCACCCACCTTTTGCTTCCCCCCACTCTATTGGAGCCTCCCATAACCGGCCGCCTTTTCACTCCTTCACCGCTCGCTCAGTCTTCCTTTCACCATCCTATCCCTCCCCTCCTCCCTCCCACCACACTCCAGCTCCACTCCCCTGCCAACTCCCAGCTCACCATTCACATCGCCTACACTAATTCCTCCTGCCACTGAATTCACTTGGACACCTCCACTCACTCCCATCACACGTAAATAAAAAGAAAGGAAACCCGTAAAAAAAAAAGGCATGGCTCGCTACGTTGTCTATAGACGCTTCAACTTCCTCCCAGAGGCAATTCCGGCTCTCTCGACCAACACCACCTATATACCGGCGCCCAAATCAATTTTTCCGAGTTGCCCACCTGTGTTCCGCGATGTTTACTACGACCTTGCCTCAAAGGTTTTCACCAAGAACGGCGTTACTCTCCGCACCCGCAATGGCGTCTGGAAACTTATGGAGCAGAGGCCTGACATTTTCACCACTTTCGAGCATAGAAACTTTAACCTTAAGCGGGAGATTGTCGATCGTGTCGAAATTCACAAGTTTATCAATGAGAGGCTCACCCTAGAGACCGGTAACATCGATTCGGACGGAATCCAGGGCGGGCCCCTTCCCACCTCGCCCACCTTCAACTTCGCTCTGGAGATTCAAGGGGAGATGAACGTGAGGAGGGTCTCGTATCTGATTGACGGGAAGATGACCTTTCACTTGGACAGGATCATTGGGTTGGACTACCAAATTGGCATGATTGAGGAGGTGATTGAAGTCGAAAAGGGTGTTCCCTATGATGCTGTCCTTGGGCTGGCGGAGGAGCGTAGGAAGGCAATCGATGGCATGATGAACCAGTATAACTGGTTCTTCAGAAAACTCCCCGAGGATGTGCACCCGATTGACGGCAAACTCATTGTTTACCTCGTGGACAAGGAAAGCAGGTACAAGTACGGCCTTTAAACGCCCTCCGATGCAGATCATGGGGGGAAGAGGGAGTTTATTACGTCACACTCTACTTTTTTTTTCTTTTTCTCCTTCATTGCCAACATAAATTTTGTTCATTGCTAATCTTGCTTAAACATCTTGATTCTTTCATCACCTGTCTTCATTTTTCGTTCATGGATTTTACAGGCATTGGTTGGGGAGTTCGGACGGCGGTCATTGCTATTGGGAGTTTCATCATGTCTCGTTCCCTCTTTCATTCTGAGTCGCCAAAAACATCCTTTTTATTGCTATTCTTCCATTACATATTACATATTCTTATAGCGTTTCTTTTGTCTGTACGAGATACTTTATCCACTTGCTCTTCATTCGTTGAACTGATAGGAAATTTCATCACTGGGACAATCGGGCTGAATGCGGTGAATGATTCCGATGTTTCTCTTGCTCGCTCACTTTTCATTTTTTTTTCTGTCACGAATACCCTTTCAACCCTACCGATGTTTGATAGTCTCCACCCGCACTATCTCTATCCGGGATTCGGCCCATAACAATATGTCGTTGTCATTGCCGTTGCTATTGCTGTCAGACCCAATACAAAAACCTGTTTCGTTGTTTCTACAAAGCCTGTGAGGACCCTCTGTGATTGTTACTCGAGTACAGTACAAAGTATCCCTTGTAAGGTTCTGCACCCTAGAATCCACAAACAAGGAAAAGTCCACTGTCTAGCTTCTTCCTCCTCCTCATGAAATACCCATTTAAAGGCCTACTGCTACCACCACCCCCCCCCTCCTTTTCCAGCTAGATCCCCAAAGAAGAATGAGGCGCACCAATAGAGGTCGTTTAGTAACCATACAAAGGTCAAAACACACCAAAACTGAGGGGTTTCAAGTCACTATATCTCCACAGATACCTTGAAGTTCAGCTTTGGAAAGAGATGAAAAGATGTGGCGTGTCCAAGGTATCACATATATTTACTCCGGGCTTTTTTTTACCAAAGTTTATAGAGAGCAATGAGCATATGAACAGGGAAAGCTTGGTTACAACGCATACAAAAACAAGGGTTCCTGGTAGGTATGACACCATGAGAGAGAAGGACATTCCAGACTTCACCGCTCCACGAAAATCGAAGGGGAAAAATCCCAACCCTTTTTGTGGGCAAAACTGAAGAAAACTTGCTCTTTGAATTTTTCTCTATAATATGAGCCTGTATAAGTTAAAACCTGATTATCGGGCCTCAACTACAAAACATTTATTTTTGCTTAACTACTTAGCTAGTTATGTAAAGTAGGTATATAGTAGCTCAGAAAATATTTTAGAACTTCAGATGACCCTGTCGCATGTTTTCAGTCCAAAAAATTGGAAACTTCGTAAATATACAACACATTTTCCTGCACTTTTCAAAAAGGCCCAATAATCATGTTTTAACTTATACAGTCTCATATTATAATTACTGTTTCTGGCACATAGTGGTTGGGTAAATAATAGCTCGGAAGGGTTCACTTTTGGGGTGTCTTGGCCCCTGCATGGTTACCAAATTTTCTATCATATTATCATACACGACCCCTTTTGGCACTGCTGGAAGTCACGGCTTCCGCAGCAGTTGTGGGTCATCATGTATCACTCGGAATTGAGCGAAAGGTGCGGATAAAAGCTTTTTTCAACCCACTGCTCGTTTGCCTGTTTTTCCTCTGGTGAAGTGACATCCGGAATGTGTGATTTCTTTATTTTTAATTTTTAAAAAAGGGACAAGTATCTGAAGATTATTATATTGTTATCCTGAACAATCTCCACTTTGAGCTTGTATAGATAGAGTAGCGAGCAACTAGAGCACCGTACTAGTACGGTACTGTACCAGTATCACACTCGTATTACCGGATAGCTGGATAATTTTATGATACAATATTTCCGCCGACGGCCCATCTAATTCTGTATAACACTATTCGGCGTTTGCCGTTCAAACTGACTGAGGGTACTGCAAACACTTTTCCTCTTTCTCCTCCTGGGTACGGTTCGAGCTCCTGATAGGAGGGGGGGAAAAAAAGAATGGCATTAGAAAATTCCCTGTGTGGTAACTTATACTGGACTTCCTCTCCCCTAGTTACGGGCACCCTATCTGGCATCAGTTCTGGTTTCTACAGTTTTGCTTCATTTTGGCTGGTACCGTACGCCCTCCCATCCGATGCGCTTCCTGGACTGGGGTGATGGGGTGATGGGTCAAGTTAAGGTCTTTCGAATTTCGCTCAGTGGACCTTTTTTTGAGGGTCGTGAGATATTAACACAATAGTGGGTTTGCGTAATTATGGTGTCTCTGTTGCTTTGCAGAAGTTACTGTTCAATACGGTACTGGTTACTGTAATCTTTGGCTCCTAAGTCGCCTCTTTCCATGACGAGTGGGTGTTCGAGTGATTTGTTGTGGCGTTACCTCCGGGTGGGTTGGGCGGGCTGAAGAGAGAAACTTACGTGGGTAGGAGCGACTGGGGGTACAGTGCTGTACCGTGTGAACGTCCTGTGAGACTTGTAAGTAAACCCACTCGTTAGGAGAGTCACCGGGTGGGGGGGGCAGGGGGGCAGGGGGGAATCTGATAGTCCAAGCGGCCCCTCACCTAGTTGCATCCGGAAGTATATGGTCTGGTAGACTTCCATATTGCTGGTATCATGGCGCCACAGTACTGCATGATACAAAACGCTGTCCACTCATATGCCCTCTGCCCTTGCCAGACTTTCCTCTCTACCGGCCAAATGATGGACTTGCCATTGCTGCTACACCTATGGTATACAAAACAGGATCGAACTGAACGTGTATGATAATTCGTTCCATGGAACAGAGACACTAACCAGCAACTGCCCAAGTATGTATTATGGGTGACAAGAGTACGGTACTCTATCCTGCACTACCGTTACCTCAAAGTCTTGGCATTTCTAGTTGTCGTCAACCCCAAAATCTCTAACCAACCTCACCCGACATCCCACCCAGCTCGTATTTACCTCTCTCCACACTCACCCAAACATCTACACCCACCAACGCATCCCCAGGGAGCTTTATACAACCACCGCCCATCTCCAATCCATCAACCCGCAACCATACCCGGATACTTAACTCACCCACCGTCTACCGCAGCAGTTCCCACACCATGAACCATTTCCCGGAAGCGTGGGGTAGAGTACGCTTCATCACTCAATCAAACCTCCACCATCGTTTTTTCAAAGACTGACCGGTTTCCTCTTTTTATCCACAACTAGCCCAGAAATGACATTTACGGCGCATACGATGCCTCGTATTTGCAATCCTCTATGCCGAACCAGCACACCCAGTCCCCGATCGTTACCGGTACCAGTGTTGTTGCGCTGAAATTTAACGGAGGGGTTGTTATTGCTGCTGATAATCTCGGTATTCTTGCCCCCCGCCACCGCCATCCCTATCTATTCGTCCATATTTCCTGCCGCTAATGTTGATAACGATGCCATCCAAAGCTTCCTATGGCTCCCTCGCTCGCTTCACCGACATCGAGCGTCTGAAGCGGGTCGGGACTCACACTGTTGTCGGCGCCGGCGGTGACATCTCGGATATGCAGTACTTACACGAAAAGCTGTTGGATCCCTTGATCATTAAGGAGGAGTATCAGAACGATGGACACCATCTACGTGCCTCGCATATCTACAGGTACCTTAGCAAGGTGTTGTATCAGCGTCGTAGCAAGCTCAATCCCCTGTGGAATACCCTACTGGTCGCTGGATGGGACGATGGCAAGCCGTGAGTTTACCAATCACTCTTGAAGAGAGGAGGTAGAGCGATTAATGTCCGGTGCAGGTTCTTGGCTTCTGCGGATCTTCTAGGAACCACCTTCTCCGCCCCTGCTCTAGCCACTGGATTCGGTGCGCATCTCGCCGTCCCCCTACTCCGTCGTATTTGCCCCGACGAAGCTGCCGTTGAGGGCATCAACTGTGAACAGGCAGTTGCCGCTGTTGAGGAGTGTATGAAGGTGCTTTTCTACCGTGATGCTCGAAGTCTGAGCAAGTACTCTTTGGCCATAATCACCGCAGAGGATGTGGAGAATGCTGGGGAGGGCGAAGCCAAGGAGAAGGTCAATATTGAGTGGAGGAAGGATATAGAGCTTCAAAACCAGAGCTGGGCGTTCGCGGAGGGTATTAGAGGGTACGGAGCGCAGATTGTCTAGGTGTATGGATATTAGACCTTGAGGGGCGTTGTCAATGAACATGTGGGGCACACAATATCCACATACTCGCTCACCCAAGATGTGAATGGTGGATACCTTATCCCCGTGAACACTTGTGACTAGAACCAATTTTTTAAAATTTTTTTTTGGACAATGACACCGTTCTACCGTGACCCCAAGAGCCGTCTAATAGTCCCGAAAACCCCACGCTCGAAAGCATTACCCAATTACCCCGTCCTATCCATTAGCCATCCACCACCGATAACCACTACTTGTCCACCCCCTCTTCCTCCTCCTCCTCCTCCTCCTCCACCCCCTCCTCGTGCCTCTTCAACAGCGTATACACGGGAGCCTTCAACTTCTCCCTCCCCTTCAAAAAATCCAGCTCGAGAATAAAAACATACTCCACGAGCACCCCACCCAACATCTCCACCAATTCCCCGGTAGCCTTTGCACTCCCCCCGGTGGCGATAATATCGTCGACAACCAGCACCCTCTGCCCCGGTTTGATGGCCCCCACCTGCATCTCGAACCAATCCGTGCCGTACTCCTTCTCGTACGCCACGCGCACACACTCGCCCGGTAGCTTCCCGGCCTTGCGCACGGGCACGAAGCCAGCGCCCAACTTCAGGGCCAGCGACGGGCCAAAGAGGAAGCCCCGCGCCTCGAGGCCCACGACCACGTCCACGCCCGCAAACGGAGGCGTCAGCGTGGGCGGGTGAGTGGACTGAACGTGCATTTCCAACGCCTGCAGCAGGGTCGCATGGAGGGTCGGGGATGCGAATATTGGGAGGATATCCTCGAAGAGTATCCCAGGCTTTGGGAAGTCGGGGTATTGACGGAGGGAGGCACGGAGGTGAGATTGGAGATTTGGCAGGTCGGTCTGGTCCACCATTTTCGTCCTTCTTATCTTTTTTTCCAACCCAGTTCGTATTCGTGTTGGAGGAGGGTTTCGGATGAGTTGTCGGCGGTCGTGGTGGTTGTCCTGGAGGAAGAATGGGCAGAGGAAGCTGGAGGCAGGAGGAGAATTCAAGACTTAAATACTCGTATACCAACCAACGGTGCACGCACGCACCCACAACAAACCTGTACGAGTGCTGTACCCGTACCGTACTGTGCCTAACCAGCGTAGTAGTAGCACGATACGATATGACAACTCGACAAAAGAGGATAACCTAACCCGTCACCCGTAAATGGCGCAATGCTGATACCGGCTATCACAAAAGAAAAAAAGAAAAAAGAAAGAAAGATCCCCTCCCATCCACAGGGGGAATGAAAAGCCAGAGCGGATATCGAGACTTACCGGTAACCTTATCTGTAATATCACTCGTACTGTACACACTTGCATTGTTCCCATATAAATCGGACAAGTTTTTTTCTTTTTTTTTTCTTTCTCCCTTCCCTCTCTTCCTCACCGAGTATCTGTGTAACGATAACCCTATCTATCTATCTATCTATCTATCTATCTCCAGGTACGATACGATGAGACACGATACGATACTGTACTCGCACAATCTATTGTGATCGAGTTAGGAAACGAAAGAGAGACACGGTATATCCCAAACGATATTATATATATATATATATATATTTCCTCCCCGTTCCTACAATATTGCCGGTATGACGCAAGTTACCGGTATAATAGGTGATTGTAACTAATTAACCTAACCAACTTAGCCGTACGGTTGATAAGATTGTCTTTTTTTTTTTTTTTTTTTTTAAAAAAAAAAAAAAGGTCCGGGGTGATAATCCGGATATCATAGATAGACCGGTATATATGACACCAATAATAATTTCCCGTTTATTTCATTTCATTTCACCTTTCATTTTCGTGAGTATTTTTTTTTTTCTTCGAGCAGGCTGGCCGGCCGGCCAAGACATGTTATAAACGCAGGGATTTATGATAAAGTGATTTTTTGTTTTTTGTTTTGTGAAAGGATTATCGTAGAAACTTGATAAGTTACTCCTGTCCAGCCATCAAACAGAGAGAGAAGGAGGAGGAGGAGAAGAGGTCTATCTGTGAGGTGATAGAGACATGACGAAAAGAAGAAGAGGAAGAAGAAGAAGAAGAAGCAAGTGACTACTAAAGTCTAACCAGCAGTTAAAATTTAGAACAATGGAATTACCAGTTTTATGAATCCTGATTAGGTATCCTGTACTGTACAAAAAAGTGAAAAAAAAAAGCGGTACAGTATTACACATTAAGTTACGCGAATACATCTACGGTACGGTCGGCTGTGATGAATTTTCCGATTTAAATTATTATTATTTCGAATTTATCCTCAACTTATACGTCCAAAGTCTCACTTGAATTGACTTGACTACTTACAAGGAGAATAATATATAGAATCGCATAATAGTATCACTGTATAACAGCGTACCAACGCGACATGACTCACAGGTTTGATTCCTTTCCTCCCCTGGGCTTTTACACTCCGTTTCTAGCCAGCCAGCCAGCCAGCAGATTCGGAAGGTAATTATACACTGAGAGGCGGAACATAATTTCTAGGCGTACGAGTATTATACACCGACAAGGTATTGGCGCTGTCAACTACGGTACTCTACAAGTATGCAGTATGTATCTGTACTCGAGTACAAGTACATTCTAGACTTTTCCACCTGTAAAAATGCAATAATGATAAACTTATATCATACCATGAAAATTGTATAAAGTAAAAACTACAAGGTCATAATGCTGGAGAAAGTTGAAAATGGATATTGATCGATCTTGCTATCGTTAAACCCTCAATAATAATAATAATAATAATAATAATAATATTACCAATGTTTCTATTTTTATAATTTTTTTATGCTGTTCGACATTGATACCCAATTGCCTAATCTTCTGCTGGAGTATGATATTTGCAAAAGAAGGTCTTGGCAAAATAATACAGTATTGCTAAGCCGTGTATGTACTGTACTGTACGGCACTGTACGAACAGCCTAATAATGCTTTTCTTTTCAGCTCCGTGAAGGGTTCTTGGTATGCTTGAACTATACGATATTGCCATAGTCTGCCATTTTACCGTACGAAGTGATATGATGGGACGGTCTACCGGTATGATTGTTACATCCATCTTCACCCACGGAGCGCAAAACTCCTTCATCTGTCAAGATGCGGGAATATATGGGCCACTACAATGCCAAAGCTCCTGCCTCAGGAAAGAACAAAACATACAGGCCCGCACGCACGGTACGTACGATATTATATCGTGTAGGGGACGGGAAATTATAAAAATAAATATAAAAAAAATACTTTTTACCCTTCTCTCTCTCTTTTTCTCTTTTTCTTTCATTTATCTTTATTTGTTTTCTGCTTCTGACAGCGAGAGCAAAATAATGTATCTAGTATAAACTCCCAAAAACTTCGTAGCATGGTATCCCCCGCTAAAGAATTCCAATCCGACCTACTCTATATAAGATACGGTATGATACGATAGAGCCAAACAAAACGAAAAAAAAAGTTACAAGGAATGGTAAGTTAATTGGGTGTGAATGCGAGAGGGGGGGGAAGAGTGGAAATCATCTGCTTTAAAGCTTCGGCTCATCTTGCAGTCTCATTTACCGCCAATGATTAAATCACGGTATTGATGAGAAAAAAGAAAAGAAAAAAACAAGAAAGAAAAGAAGTGGAATAAATGAAAGACAACAAAAGGTATAAGAATCTGATATAATAATAAATTTCAGCACCAGGGGGGATAAAACCGCAATGCAAACACCCACAAAAGGAATAGAAAGAACCTAGCAAGCAAAAGAACAGAAAAAGAAAAGAAAAAGACCTTGCGCCGACAGAAGATAAACTCAAGAAAAAACAAAAGTGCCACCATCCACCACACCTGGCATCGAATTCAGCAATTCCTGTAAGAGCCAAATTTTAAACAAAAACAAAAAATATCATGATGCGTTCAGAAATTATAGCGATCCCCCTGCCTGCTGACCGGCTTTCCCTGCCTGTTGACCGGCACTCCTTTATCTTGAGCACCTCCCTTCTTCTTGCCGGATTTTCTCGGCAGAGGTTGTTCAAAATGTGTATGACCGTGCTCGTCGAGCATGGTTTCGTTGGCCCAGTTGAGGCATCTCCAAACACCGGGATCGATCTGTGCCTTGCCACGAGTATTCATTCTTGTGGGGCCGGCTTCCTTTTCGGGGGAACCTTCACTTTCCCCGGCGAGATACTTTTTACGATTAACCATACCCTCTTCGATATGCTTTCTATACTCCTCAAATTGTTGCTTCAGTTTTTTCTCCCTGACGCCCTTGATATCGAGCCAGGACAACACTTGCTCAAATTCTTCGACCGTGTCAATATATCCGTATTGGGTCGGTGACGTGAGTGTGGTCGAGCTCTCCTCCAATGCTTGGCGTTCAAGCACGGTCATTCTCTCGTCTTTGGAGCCATTCATTTTCATCCTCATATCACTCCCCTCCTCAGATGCCCACTTCGTCCCCGCCTCTTCAACCAGGAAGCCCTCTCTCTCACTAGGGTCAGGTCCTTGCACCCATATCATTGCATTCGCGTATCCAGCATACGCGGTAGATGACTGGGGCAAGCCGCCGAACGGCATCCCATTTCTCTCAAACCACCAGTATCTGTTCCAGAATCGATCTCTCCCCATCATCCTGAACCTTGCACAATCAGCTTGCCTGAGGTCTTCGTCAAATGATGCAATTTTTTCCTCCTGCTTAGCAATCTTGGCTTTCACCGATTCAATCGTTTTCAACACTTTTTGGAATTGTTTCGAAGTTTTGGGAAGTTTGGCCGCTGCGTCCGCCTTCTCTTTTTCGGCCTCACGTTTTCGCTTGCGCTCGTTCGCACGCTCGCCTCCCCGTCTCAGGGATCTACCGCGATCGGTATCGTCACCATCTTCGTCATCATCACCATCCAAGTCTTCCTCGTCTGCTCCAGTCATCTTTGAATCGCCATCCGCGTCAGTTGATGTCTGCCGCGACGCTGCAGCAGGTGAGGGCGACCTGGGCGTATTCTCGGGAAGAAGTATCTTCCTCTCGTCGTCAAGCATCTTCAGTTCAGAAATCCTAAACCAAGCGATTAGCTCAGTGAGCAGAGGGAAAAAATGGCCAAACGTTTCCATACAAGTCCCGCCTGGTCCTTTGCACTTCGATTTTATCCTTCCTATGCTTTGTCATCTCTTCAGAACATTCCTCCATGTAATCCCTAACCGATCTTGTCTCGTGCGTCAGCCTAGAGAGCAAATGCAAAACCATAGCTCTCAAGTTGATATCCAACGTCAGGTATCGCCGTCGGACGCTCTCAGGTGCTGGTTCCTCACCCACAGGCGTCAAATGTTTCAAAATTTCCTCACAATCCTTAGCATAGCGATCGTCGACCGAAAGTCTGTAGAGCACACCAACGACAATAGCCTGCCATCCCCCATTCTTGAAATCCCTCGCTTTCAGACGCTGAATCCAACCATCACTATCCTCAAATAGTTCGTCGGCCCGATGGGATTTCTCTCTATCCTCGGACTTCGCTCTTGATTTCTCCCCATCATCCTCAGTTTCCATCCTGTCACCATTCACCCTGACAGTATCTTCGGCCGAACCAGTCGAACTCCCATCCTCTTCCTCGTCACTCTCCTCCTCCTCCTCTTCTTCATCGTCCTCCTCCGGATCGGGTAGCTGTGCTTGGATAACCCCTTGCTCGTTTACAATCGCCTTGAGAAGTGCACAATGAATCTCCACAAATAAATCGCAGTCAATCTCGTCACTACTGAACTGCAAGGCTTGAAGGTAATCGTCAAAGGTGAAGGAATCCAAGAGCAAGGGCTCGCAGTAAATATTAAGAAAGACCCAAGTACTGAGAAAGAAACTAACTTTTCCCTCGTCGATACCATTGTTCATTGGCACGGGTGAAGCCGAGGAAACCAAAGACGACCTCGTCAATGACCTAGAAACTCTCCGGACCGTATCAACAGCAGGAGGCTCGGGTTTGACGGATATGGGAAGTTGCGAGAGAAAGTGGAGCTTGGGTCTGCGAGGGCCTTCCTGGTACAGGAGATCCAAATCCTCAATCGGATATTTGATAGGCTTGGGCGGAGGAGGCGGTGGTGGGGGTGTATCTTCCTTGGCCGCAGCCTTGGAATTGATTTTTGCCATCCCAGCCTCGGGGGTTCCAGTTGGGCTGCTCCAGGGGGAGGCTCGGGCACTGTTCGATGTGGTTCCTGGTTCACGATCAAGCTGCGTTATCTTGGTGACTTTCATGGCGGCTTGGTGACTCTTGCTCTTGTGGGACTTTGGTGTCGGTTTGATCTCGACTGGGGTCGAAGGAGCAGAGCTGCTGTTGGCCACGGAAGCAACAACTAATCCCTGCTCCCTCTTTTGTGCCAAAGCCTTTGCCTTCCTCTCTGCTGCAGTAGAAGCCCTTTGCAGGTGCGGAGGAACGGTTTGCGGAATCTTGTATTTGTTCGCAAACTCCTCCTTCACCAGCCAAGGTGCCCCATTCCATGGCTCTCTTGACACGGTATTCTTAATAAAGGAGCGCAACATGGCCTTCGTGAAGGACTTCTTGTCCCGTACGAGATGTTCATTGTCGACTTGTGCTTCCTCATCATTTCTATTGATAAGTTTGACGGTGTAGCGGGAGAAGCCCTTCCGCTGAATGTCACCGCTAGCATATCGCAACTCAGGAAACATTGTCTTTTCGCGTACCAATGCCTCTACCCGATCACCATTGGGTAGTATCGCTGTAACATGCTCGCCAGGATAAAAGTCGCTCTTGAATGACTAAGGTAAAAAAAAAAAAAAAAATTAGTAAAACGAAGAGGCGATAGACCCATTGTGAGGTAACGTACGTCGTGCAATTGGTCAACTTTATATGAAGTGTTAGCAAATTGCACATAACAACCCTCGAATTTCCATCTTACCTAGCGTATCAATTCTCGACACCGTCGAAAATTGTACTTTCCTGAGAACAGGGTCTTTAAGGGCCTCAGGGAATGTCTGATCGACATCTAGCGAACTATTTGTCTGCACTTTCCGTAAGACCCCTCTGACACGGCCTTTACTCTCACCAGGCGAGGTGCTTACTTCACTTATCAACGCTTCAAAGAAGCTGAGATTCATGTGACCCGTAATCTCGCAACTAAACTGCTTCTTTATGGACAAAGTCAGCCATGCAGTCGCAAATGTGTCCAAACACCTCCGAACAAACATGTGACATCAGATTCTACTAAATGCCTTACCGTTTTGTAAAAATCGAGCCTTAGGAATCTTTAGCGTAGCCATTCGGGAGGGATCCGGGGCAAACGATCATTACATACCTATCCAAATAACTCTGATAGTCGACAAAAACCTCTCCGGTCTGCGAAATTTGCCAAACCTGAAGAGTGTTAAAGATGTAAGCCTACAACCAAATTTCGGCCTCCCCTCAATGGATAAATTGAGACACACCTCCTGAGATTCATCGTCGATATCAGGGCTAGCGACGAGCTGCACGGGTTTCCTCTTATATAATACCTGCACTTCATATCAACCCCGAACTGTATGGGAAGAGAGGCCAAGAAATAACGTGATCCGATCATAAATATAACGACTAGAGTGAGAGGGTTGTCCTTACCATCCTCGCCGGCACGACAGGCAGGAAGGGATTGAAACCCGACTGTAATATCAAACGAGGGAGGGCCTAAAATATCCCGAATGGATATGAAAGAATTACGGAGGAAGACCAAGCGATTGGAATGAAGATTGCCAAAGAAGGAAAGATGTTTATAGGAAGCGGGAGAGATGAGTGGAACAGAATGAGAAGACTGCAGGAAGAAGGCGCGCGGAAGGCACTGGTAGTTGTTGATCGGAGAAGAAAATATTTCACAACGACACAGCGAAGCACGGACGCAGAGTGCTTGCCAGAACAGGGTTGTGGTTGACAGGCGATGCGGGAGCGTCAACTTAACGGGACGGTTCCTGTCGTCGGCGATGACAATCACCCGGATATAAACGCGGGAGGAGGGGGAGGACGGGGAGGAAGAGGATGCAGGGTTGCAAGAGCGGGAGTGTGTCGTCGTCGGGGCAAATGGTGGCTTAGTGGAGAGGTGGTTGAGAGTGGAGAGGGAGGAGGGGAAGGGCGGGCGTGATGATGAAGGGGGGGGGAGGAGGAGGAGGAGGAGGGGAGGAGGAGGAGGAGGAGGAGGTAGTGGTGATGATAATGACGATGAGAGCGGTGGTGGTAGTGGTAGGTGCTATTGTAGTGGTGCGGAAAGGAGGAGGAGGAGGAGGAGTGAGGAGGGGG